TTTTCATGGCTTGGTCCAAAATAAATTCAGTTTGATAAGCATTCAAATACAGATTGCATTAACTTATGCAAAATATTCTCGCGACTGAGAACATTTTAAGGGATGTTCTAAAGTCTAAATTACCGTAAATAAACTAAGTACTGTACAGAAAACTGCCGATTCACATCGCAGGTTTCACAAAAGCTTTTTCCTGCAAATTTTCAATAATAACGTAATGCAATATCACGAATAAGTTAGTCAACGTAATATCAGTAATAAAGCTGACCGGGTTAAGTTAACCTGGTAGACAACAAAATGAAGTGCAGTGATTGCAGGTGGTATCTCGCAATTCGACTCTAATCTGTTGCCAAACTAGGGTCGAATTGCAAGACACTATAAAAATGTGCCAGTTGTGGCCCACCGGGCCACAACTGACACATTGAGCACAAGTACAAGATTACCGGTGGTCCATCACCACTTAACCAACTTTAATCAAATTTTTTTTTTAAGTTCTTTGCATAATTTGTAGCATGATAAACAGTTGCATGTGGGCACCCCCTCTTCCACATAATAATGTCTGTAGTTCCACATAATAATGTCTAAAATGTGTCCAATGCCCAGGTGTGGCTGGGCACCCCCAGCTTGTCAAATTATTTCGACTGGCCCAATTCAATTGGACCATCTGTTGTTTTACTTCACGTCACTAACGTCCACCATAGAGCGTTAAGCTGAGATTAGACAACGGTTTGATCCCAGCTTAACGTTCTGTGATATTTATCAAGGGCAAACAGCAAAAAATAAAAAAAACTGGAAAAGAAGCTGAAACAGGTCGAAGTTCGGGAAAGAGGTCGAATTGCGAGTCGACCTCCAAGCAAATTCGCCCGTCGAATTGCGAGATACCCTCTGTATTGGCAATCTTTCGCTGCAAATTATTGTTGAAGAGCCATTTTCATTTAAGGATAGGTCTCTCAGTGTATCCAATTTTCTTATAGCATTGTGTGGGGAAAATGGCGGCATTTCTTGGATTCATGAGCCATCACATTTTTTTTTTCTTCGGTTGCATTTCGAATGATTTGAGACGCGTCTTGGAATCGATGGGTCTTACGTTCGTGGGAATTTGGTACTTAGTCTTGCGTAGGTTGATTAATTGATAGTGTTCCCTGAAGAGTGAAAATGTGGGTGATCTTGACAAACATTTTGACGACTTGCTGGTGCATTGAATATATTGAAATTTATTTTTAATTATTTTTTTTATTGACGCATGTATTTTACAGATGTTTTATTTATAGCGATGAAAGAAGAGAGAGTAGTTTATGTGACTGGTTTTGGACCGTTTGGGCGGCATGAGGTGAACGCGAGTTGGGAGGCTGTGAAACTGTTGCCTGGGAAAAATGTTGGAGAAGATTTTGGAGTTCGATTGGTGGTTGAGGAAATCCCTGTGGTTTATGAGCACGTGGGGAAGGCTATCGTAGAGCGTTGGCAATCTCTACGACCGTTCGTGAGTTTAAAAAAAAAAAGCTATTTACAAATTTCTTCCTTCTCTTCTACATCCTCCGTCTTCTTCAGAAATGAGAGATTTGAATTTAGTTCATTCAAGTTGGCATGTCGGTCTTCTTTGCGAGGCATTGACTATTTTTGTCAAGGGATAAATACATAATCACGTACAGTATTGAGTAATTGTTGAGAGATTTTGTTTTTCCACGTAAGATGTTCTTCCTCGACATTTTCGAACTATGAAGAATCAGTTTTTTTTTATCATCGTATGTGTTGAAAATTGATCTGTTTTAATCCAAAAATTTGTAGCTTTCCGTTTTACCTTTGAATTAAGACATCGAATTCCAAAAACTTGAAAAGCTTCAAGGATTGCTCTCTTAATAGAACAAATAACCTTCAGGCAGAAGTTAAAAATAGTAGTAAAAACTTTACAACTTTTTGCAGACTTGATTAGGACGTAACCACATTTGGCTTCACTAGTAATGAGGCGACTACGTTATAAATTTGCTAGTAATTTTTTCACTTATGTATTGTACTGTATTTACACAAGTACCGTGTGCGCTCATGCAAGACACTCGCCTTTATTTTGAGACGCAATTTTGAAAAATAATTAAATTTCTGTTTACAACATGCCACCTGGTTTTCTTTCATACAGAATTCTATGTACTGTATTTTAGGAGATACAATTTATACTAAATTTTGAAAAAAAATTCGGAATTTAATTCTGCTGCATTTTTTTCTGCTTCTTTTTTTATCCTCTTGATTGTTTTGAGCCTGATTACAGTAGTATATTTCTTTTTACAAATCCTGGTCTCTAAAAGATATTTATGTACCGTTAATATTTACTGGATATGCCTTTGTTTACTTTTTCCTACATCAAGCTGGTGGAAAATTGATAGACATTTTTGAAGCGGAAATTGATGTATCATTCATTATAAAATTTTAATAGGCTAGCCCCACTACAGGAAAAAAGATCGGACACTTCTCGTCAATGCATGCTAACAAAATTCACTTCCTTCCAATATTCGAGATTTTACTAGTCTAGTACGGCTAATTGGCTGCGTCACATGCTGTCTTCAAGTACAGTATTTAGTGTGAGAAAAAAAATTCGAACATGCAACTACGCGTGAAAATCTGAGCATCCTTCGCTCTTGCACAAATGAACTCCTCCAAATTCTCACGGAACAGAGTATTCTCTTATATTTTTTTCAGTTGGTTGTTCATGTCGGGGTATCGGATGTGGTGAGAGAGATCACTCTTGAGCAACGAGCTCATTGTTCAGGTTACAATTTACCGGATACTATTGGATGCGTTCCGGAAAACGGACGTTGTCGCGGCCTACAACTTCTCCTACGATAAAAGCTCAGGCCAGACTTAAACCCAGAATAGTCGTCCTTGCATTTGCGATCACGAGGAAGCACAAACCACCACTTTAGCGTATTACGGCCGTCCACTCGCTCTTCGATAGATATCCTCGAATGACGTCAAATCTCCGAGTATTTATCTTATTTGAGTGAATGGTAATGAAATTCCGTAGATTTTGAGATGCAGTACTTCAAAATCGATGAAAAAAAAAAACCTGGTAACTTCCTTCCTAAAATTCCTTCGAACAAGGTGGACCGGAAAGCTATTAAGTGTACATTTGAACTTCCTTGAACCGAATTCCAAGGGACCAGAAAAAAATTCGATATACTGTAGGGAGGTTTCGAGTTGGGAAAACTACCGTTATTTTATCTTGAAAAAAAAATATTAGAGTAAGTTTAAATTAGTGATCTTTTTGGCGCAAAACTGCCTTGTGAAGAGGCTTATGCTGAACTTCGAGGCAAGCTTCATTTGCCAAATTTTTTTTCACTTTCTTTCAAAAAACATCGAGTTACATTTTCATAGCTTTTCTCATTCCACTGGGACACGAAAATAATTGCAGAAAAGCCTTCGGAAAATTCGAGTTGTATAGTTATGAGGGGGAACGTTTTCGATTTAACAAGGTTCAGCTGTATATTTTAAGTATAAATAAGTCGTCAAACACGACGCACTTCAATGACGACCTGCAAATAAATGTCCTCTTCAACGATCTTTCAAGTTTAATTAACTTTTCAAATTTCAAGCAATGTTATGACTTTGAAAGGAAACCATGAGAAAATTTCACGATGCTTTCTCAAGTATGCGAATTTATCGTTATAGATAAACAAAAATGTGTTTGGTCCTAATCATCAGAAAATTCTTTCCATGGATTAAGAAATGCTTCTGATTTTTTATTTCACATTGAAAATGGTTTTTTTTTTCTTATCGCACACAGTCGTGATACAGTACCATACTTCTTATTGCTGCGTGTTCATCTCAGAAGTCGTTGGAAGATATTCTGAGAAAAAAAAAAAAGGGGTCTAAGAACACGCTCAAGTGGATGAAGTGGAGTTACACACAGCTGTTTTGGGCTCACCGAAAGCACGTACACGGAGGCGACCCGTAAATGTCACGACTTCTTCATCGACTGACTCTCAAGATGTGCATAGGAGAAATGTTACAGCAATTGTTCAGCTCAGATGGAATCAAGGAACGCGATGTGTCTTAATGTGTAATGTCGAATCCGTCCCGGTTATTCACGAATCACGACCTTTTATTTTATTGTTCTTTCTGTGAGCAATACATTGTTTCCGTCACGGAGCGTGAGGGAGAATTGCAGTATTTTGTCTGGTTGCCACGCGGGTGTTCGTTCCTTTTTTCGTGTCAGAAAAATTATGTTTTGGGACTTGATTGAGTCAATTTATGCGTTTTATTTTTCAGCGAGAGGCTTGAGGTTTTCAGAGAAAAATGTCAGCTCCGAACGCGGTTTTCATGAGTGCCTCTCCGAATCACTCCCCGAAACATTTCCTGCGATGTAAGCTCATTTGCCGTGTATTTCAACGCAATATTGACGGATGTGCTGGGGTTTTTATCCTCAGATTTTTTTGAAGAAGATAAAATACCGGAACCCATAAAAACGGACGTTCACGATTGCATGGAAAAGTTTCCGTATTTGCTGAGTAACAAATACTACGAAGCAACCATAAACCTGTGTTTAGCTCATGAGAAGAATCTCGTTGGAGCAGATTTTGCCGAGAGTGTTGAAGCTGTCATCCTTCACTTTGACAGCACGTCGGTAAGAGTATTAAAAATCATTAAATGCCTTCATATAAATACGGTGGACTTTTTTTAGACTCATGGTTTGAAGAACGCTGAAGACTGGCTGCCATTCGTTCAAGCCTGGGAACCCAGTGTTTGCATTTTGTCTTGCGGCTCGTGTTCTAGTGAAAATGTTGTTTCCGGAATTTCCCGGCTGAGAGGTGAGATAAAAATTTTTGGTTTTAACACAAAATGCACCTGTCCCAACGTTAAAACTTCTTTCAAAATTAAGGACATTAAAGCCTTTTTGAAAGACATTAAAAGTCTTTAAGAAGAAAAGACATTAAAACTTCGTATTATTATTTTCTATAATTTTGAAGAAATTTTCCTCACACCTGATGTATTATATAAAATTCAATAATCGGCGAATAATGAATCGTTCATTATCTTTTTTATACTCCGTGCGATTTCAGAGTTGAGGATCTTTCCTCATTTCCTGCTATCTCGATGTTAACGATTACTGTATTCAAAAATATATGAACTTGAACCTTTTCGAAATGTGCCTAAATCATCACTAATTGTGAGTATGAAAGAGGGTTTTGGAGTTGCGATTGCTTTTTTTTCAGTATAAGCAGTTCCAAAATAAAAGTGTTTTAAATGATCTAATTCTATAAATCGAGAATACTGAGAAATGTGTTGAAGGCCGTTTTAGAACATTCTGAAGTGTAAGAAGGGATTACATTCATAATACACATTTGAACAAATGAATTCAAAGCAATGGATCCGTTAGCCGAAGAAATGTGAGAACATTCATATCCGAAAATTTCAAAGTGCCACCTTTCTGTGAACAAATTCCGTCGAACTCATGAAACAGCTTTACCCTTGAGACTTTAGAATTCAAAGCAATGGATCCGTTAGCCGAAGAAATGTGAGAACATTCATATCCGAAAATTTCAAAGTGCCACCTTTCTGTGAACAAATTCCGTCGAACTCTTGAAACAGCTTTACCCTTGAGACTTTAGACGCGGACGCAAATAAAGACAGCCAGTAATGACATAGAATTAAAAGGTACAAGGTCGCGTTCTTACCACGTATCTCGTACCAAAACTTGACCAGCTTAACCTTGGGTTACGTCCTTCGCTGCTACTACTCGACGATGATGATGATGAAAATGTTCCTTTTGGCAATGCGCGTGGACCTGGTAGAATCCTGGCCGCTTTGAATGCCCACACTTGGTCAAACCTAGTTTTGAAGGAGGAGTCAGGTTATTATCAAATGGATACTGTATTTCGAAAATCCAATTGATGATTTTTTTCGAACGATTATTTAATTCGTTTATTTTATTTTTTTTACTGGTGAAGATGCTCGGACATCGGCTTCAAACCGGCTGAAGGAGTCTGTTTCATCTCCTCCAAAAGGTGAAGCAAATTTTTTTTTTCAGTCCCAAAATATCCACATGGAAATTCCAATTTAGGTGTATGAGTCCTGTATCTTCAAGAAGCAATAGTCGTCGTCTATTCGTGATTGTAAAGCATTTCAAATTTTAAATATTTTTTTTTATTTTCGCTTGTTTTCGCTTTCATTGATTGTGATAGCCATTTGGTCATAGTTTGATCCAAGGATTGGAAATAACGCCTCCTTTCCTAGACTTCTTATGAGAAGAGAGTTTCATGATTTCATCTGTTAATTTAGGGGGTGGTGAGGACGCAAGATTCTGTAAAATAGCAAATGTAAAGGCAGTTTTTTTTTAAATCTCCGCGTGTCCCGAGTTTATGGCTTTACTTCGTATCACCTAGATGTCGCCTGAATGGTGTTGAGTTACATAAATTTAAATTAGGTCAGGCTATGCATTACGTTTTGTTAGGCTTTACGTCATGGCAGGTTAGGTTTGGATTTTTTCCTACAATGAGATGACAATTTAAAGTATTAAAAGATTCATTTTTTCTTTTGATGGAAGATTACATGACATGTCATAACTCTTTAAGTTAACTCTAATAACATAAAGTCCTTTGGTGGTGTTAATAGAAAGTCCTTCGGACACTTTACAGATTTCTGCCGTTCAATGAAAATTAAAATTGATCGAATCGTTCATGAATCAAGTGTGAATTTTTCCCCTCCACGTTTTTAAAAGACTTCAGATTTCGGGCATTGTTGTGTAATTATAATTTTTTTATTATTTCGCAGAAGACGAGGAAGAAGGTGGCGAAAGTTTCGAAGATCTTTTCCAAAATTTCGCCGCGATGAAAGCCAAGTGTGATTCCTTATCGTCGGACGAACGAAAGAAGTACGCGGAAGAAATCGCCGTCGCCTTTTGGCGTGCCATGTCCGGAGACGAAGAAGAAGTCACTGGATTGGACTCTGAACCTGAAACTTGAGGACCTGGGCTTTATCGAAATCCTCGTGTTGTTTGCTTTCGTTTGCTTGTAATGTAATAATGGAGAGTCACTCCTGTGTTTTTATCGCCAAGGAATCGTATTGCATACTTGATGTTTCTCGAGTGAAAGCCACTCACTTGTTTTGTCTGCGTCGTTCGTGCGTGGATTGTGAACGTTGATCGCGTATTCTTTGTTTTGAACTGTTTTCTCAGGATTTTTGTCCATTGAGACCACGCATCAACTTCTAAAATGGGTCGAAAAGTTTATGTCATTGGCGTCGGAATGACGAAGGTAATGGAAATTAGTCTCACATTTTTGGAAAAAAGAAAAATAAATTTTTGTCTCGTAGTTTGAGAAACCGGGGAAACATGATGCCTCCTATGTCGATTTGGTCCGTGAGTCCGTGACAGATGCTTTGTCTGACGCAAAAGTGTCCTACGACGACATCAAACATGCCTTCGTTGGATATGTGTATGGTGAGATTATTGCTATTATCAATTTTTTGAAGGATTTTTATGAGTGCTCATCAGAAGAGCGAGCACTCTATATGTATGCTCATATGTGGAACTGCTCTTGCATCAAAAGATCAAGTGCCCAATTAAATACGGTATTTTTGTAATGCTTGCTGTTTTCAGCTATTGACTCATTTTTTGGTACTTGATAAGTAATCTGGCCCATGAGACTTTTGCGCTGTTGATCAAATGCATTTGCTCTATTGATCAAAGAGCCTTTGCTCTTCTGATGCTCCTTTGATGAAAGAACAAGTACAGTCAAACCACAATAAGACGCCACCATTTGTCCAGAGCAATTTTGGCAGTTTAAAAGGGTTGGCGGTTTATCAAATATTTCATTTTAAATTATTTGATCGAAAATACTTGATTTTACTCCAAAAGTCATAGAAATGCAGGTTTTCTAGAAACTTCAGTAATTTTCCAATGAGTATTCCTGTGATCAATGGATTACTCTTTCAGAAAATTCATTTTGCTGCATCAATTTATTCTAATTTTAAAATTAAGTCAATATATTGTTCAAATTAAAAAAAAGAGATTATTATTATTTTTTCTTTTTACAAATGCAAGATCCTTGACAGAAATTACAATTCCAAAACAATGTTGGCATTGTAACAGAGACAAAACCAACAGGAAAAAGCACTTTTGTTTCATCACTAATACTGGCAGATGGCATTTGGTGTCTTATTGAGGTTTTCTATAGAATTTAACATGGAGCAGATTTGTTTTATTAAAAATTTTGGCGGTTGCCAAGGGTGGCGCTTTATTGGGGGGTGTCTTAACGGGGTTTGACTGTATCAATCACACAATTATTCTTTTGATAAAAGAGCAAGCAAGAATTTGGCAATTCATCTTTTATATTTGCTCTTTTGATGAAGAGCACTTCTCCTTTGATGGAAGAGCATTTGCTCCTTTAATGAAAGAGCACTTGCTCCTTTGATGGAAGAGCACTTGCTCCTTTGATGGAAGAGCACTTGCTCCTTTGATGAAAGAGCACTTGATCCTTTGATGGAAGAGCATTTGCTCCTTTGATGAAAGAGCACTTGCTCCTTTGATGAGAGAGCCCTTACTCCTTTGATGAAAGAGCAAGTATAAGTTGGGCAGTTGTTCTTCTGATAAAGGAGCATCCATCAGTTGGGCAATTGCTCCTTTTTATTTGTTCTTTTCATAAAAGAGCAAGCATCAATTGGGCCATTGCTCTTATATAAGCGTGTTTGCTGTTCACTTTCTCTTTTGTTCCTACTCTTCTGGTCTTGAAATTTTGGGACCTAATCCTTTGGAGTATTTTTTCTGGTACAGTATTATCTTTTCATGCCGCAATTATTTACTGTAAGAGCACTCAGGAAATACGCTGGTTGGAAACTCGTCGATCTCTTGGTTGTAGTACAGGTATTATTATTGAACGTTTGAATATTCTTTCCCAGGTGATTCAACGAGCGGGCAAAAGGCATTGTATGAGATTGGCCTGACTGGGATTCCGATCCAGAATGTCAACAATAATTGCTCCACAGGCTCAAGTGCTTTGTATCTTGGTTGCAAATTTGTGGAAAGTGGATTGTCCGACTGCGTCCTCGCTGTTGGATTTGAGAAAATGCAGCCGGGGTCTTTGGGGCTTGTGGTGAGTGAATTATGCTCGAGTTCATAAACCTTTGGCCACTTTAACTAATTGTCATAAGGACTTGAAAAAATTGCTCTTAGTTTTATTGAACAGTTTGTTAGTTTTGAATAGGGCAGGACTTCGAGATTTTCATTCCGTGTAGCAGTTCTCTGACTGACATTTTAATATTGAATCCTACATCCCCGTTTTATGTTCCAATGGTGTGAAATTGGAAACTTGTGTTTCTTACCTCACACGAAATAAGCTTAATTCTGTATGATATAAGTTTTGATTAGTCGAATTTGAAGCCTAACTGCCGTAACCTAATTCTAAAAAATGTATATATACAGTACACCTCACCTAAAAATACGCACAACTTACCTTGAATACTGATTTACTAATGGGCTCGTGAAAGCAGAAAAAAAATGTGGGGCGTCCTAAATAGGAAATATATTTTATTTTCATATGATGACTGAGACATGCTTTTCATTGGTTCAGTGAGTCACTGTGTTGAAATTTCATGTAAAATCTGTGTTTCAGTTTCCGGATCAGCCGAATCCGTTGGAAAAGCATATTGAGGTTATGGGAGAGCTTGAAGGAATCGCAGCTGCTCCTTTTGCCGCACAACTCTTCGGAAATGCGGGTCGAGAACATATGAAGCTCTATGGAACAACAAAAACGCACCTGGCAAAAATTGCTCACAAGAATCATCTCCATTCCGTGAACAATCCGTAAGTCCGCACTTTTCTGAAATTCGAATCGACATTTTTGCGGGCGAAGCTGGACGGATACTTTGATTTCATCGAGGAACAATTTTTTTTGGGTCGAATGTGCTAATTGAAGTCGGATTTTGAAGGGAAATATCTAGGCCAGTGGGGGAAAACAGTTTACCGGCCGCCGAAAGTTTGAAATTTAGTAGAATATTACGAAAACTGTGCTCGTGACAAAAATATAAAATTTCCCCGGATAAAAATTCCATGAATGCATAACGAGATAGATCCTTGGCTCAATTATTTAAAAATCACCGAAGAACTGCGTTACATATTCTGGTACGACAAGCCTTTTTCGAGAATAATTTTGGAGTGTTTTTCATAGTTACAAGTACAATACACTCTCTCTACGACAATCTTGTCTACAAATATTTTCTCTGTCTATTAAATCTTCTTTTGGCCCCAAAAGGGTTCTACAGCATCTTGTAGGAATTTTCTTCAATTTTTCTGGTCCCCTCTACAGTATTTCGTTGTTGAGATCTGTAGTAAGATCCACGCCCAATTTTTCAGAAGAAACTCCTTACCACTGTTCTTCTTGAAAGATGCTGAATTGTTTTATGAAGTCTGAAGTCTAAAATTGTCTTTATTCATTACTTAGCGATAATCCATTCGGTAAGATTTCGTTATAAAACCACAAGTCATAAAAATAATTTTAATACGGTAATAATAGTATCCAACGTGAAGAGAGTTTACAAAAGGTTTCTTAAAATTTTTTTGGTAGAAATCAGGTTTGGACGCACCTCACACTACCTTTTATTCCAATTTTCATTTGTCATTCTTCGTTCGTTTGTTTTCATTTTCGAAAATCGCAGTTTCGTGATGCGTCATTTCAGAACTTGTATTGTAGAATTTTTTTAAATCTATTTCATCGGTACTTTACTGTACCATGCGTACCATTATCAGTATAGAATTACTGTATATTGAGTATATATAGTTCATCCCCCAATTTTTTCAAGGTCATGAAAAAGTTCGGTTCATGCCCACCGTAGGTTTTACAATCAAGTGTTTACTTATTTTTTCTTTAGCAAATCACAGTTTCGTGATGAGTATTCGCTGGAGCAAATACTCAAGTCTCCCGTGGTGCATGAGCCCCTGACGAAGCTTCAATGTTGTCCCACATCGGACGGTTCTGCAGCAGTGGTCATAGTCTCTGAAGACTTCCTGGTGAAGCGTGGACTCGTCAAGTCTAATGCTGTCGAGGTCCTGGGAATCGAAATGTGCACGGATACTAAATCATCTTTCAGTTCCGGCAGCATGCGTGACGTCGTAAGGAGATACTTCAGTCATTTTAGTGAATTTTTTCCTCGCAGTTTTTTATTTTCTTTCTCAATTCAGAGACGAGAGTTGGAATAGTTGNACGAAGCTTCAATGTTGTCCCACATCGGACGGTTCTGCAGCAGTGGTCATAGTCTCTGAAGACTTCCTGGTGAAGCGTGGACTCGTCAAGTCTAATGCTGTCGAGGTCCTGGGAATCGAAATGTGCACGGATACTAAATCATCTTTCAGTTCCGGCAGCATGCGTGACGTCGTAAGGAGATACTTCAGTCATTTTAGTGAATTTTTTCCTCGCAGTTTTTCATTTTCTTTCTCAATTCAGAGACGAGAGTTGGAGTAGTTGACGAAAGTAATTTCAAAAGTCATTGGCGTATTTTTGTTGATGGAACAAATGCAGTGATGCCTTTTTGTTCTTGGGTTTGATCCTCAGGAATGTGAAGCTTTAAAGTTGTTATCTTAAATCCTCAATAAAATGAGAATTGAGGAAAAGTAATAATAAAAACCTTGAGCAGTTTCTGCTGAAGAAAATAAAATTCCAGTTACAGTATACTCTATTTGTCAAAAACATGAACAGACGCCAATTTTATATTCAAGTCATTAGGCGTTAAGAAGATGGGTGACCATTGGAAAGTGTTGAGTTTTTGCTGCTCATCTCAGATAAACCTCTTGCTTTGTCCTAAATTATTATTGCTAAAATATTTTGTGTTTTTTTTCGCTCTGTGCTTCCGGAGCAAATATTTAGTGACTATAAAAACTCGAATTAAAATTTTCAATCTTTTGATCGCTAGGTCGGATATAGCATGAGCAAAGCCGCAGCTAATGCGGTGTTTTCGAAAACTGGGAAAACCCCGTCGGATGTTCAAGTCGTCGAATTGCACGATTGCTTTTCTGCGAACGAGCTCATCACGTACGAAGCATTGGGACTCACAGGCCTTCCGCCGCGGCCGCGGAAATAACTGGCGCCACTGTTGTGCATGCCCCCTTTTAAACACCACTTAGGTTCACCACCTGAGTAAAGATTTCCAGTAGGGGAACCTCGGTGACCACTCAGTAGTGTATTTTTTTTACAGCGCGAACCTGTGCGTAAAAACTTTTTTTTTTTTAGTTTGAATACTGTACTTTCTGGCATTTTTAGCATGGGTGTTCGAAAGGTTACTGTGCTGTTATGTGGAAAATGTTTGACCTATGTACAGTATTGTATGGTATGTTAAAGTTTTATACTTTTTCCATGACGATAATGAATGGTATGAGTTTAGGAAGATGTCACTCACTGGCAGTCGGCGCGGCATTTTAATTTAAAACTTCATATATATTTTTTTCTGTGGATGTGAATTCATGTAACCCACTTGTTTCGTTTAGTTTTCTAGTCATATTTTTCAAAAATTTGTTTTGGAATTTTTTAAATCCATGGCTATTCATCTGAAAGGTTTTCGGAAAGCGCGTCGCAAAATTTCAAAGTTGCGTTTCATTTAAGATCAGAAACATATGAAAAACTAACTGATCCTCTGCGCAATAACTTTTTGGACACCCTGTAAGCCTTTATTTATATTTGTCTCTCTGAAATACCAATTCTTTTGGATTGTTAGTTGTCTCAGAAATCTCATAAGAAACATATGAAAAACTAACTGATCCTCTGCGCAATAACTTTTTGGACACCCTGTAAGCCTTTATTTATATTTGTCTCTCTGAAATACCAATTCTTTTGGATTGTTAGTTGTCTCAGAAATCTCATTTTTCGTAGGGCCTCGGTTAGTGGAATTTCCATGATCGTTTCCCTTGGACACATCAATCGTGAAAAAATTAAAGTACAGTGCTGTGGGTGATCCCATCAATCTGTTCAAATACTGTAACTTCACAGTTTCCAAATTCAACAAATAATAAATGATTGCCGTAAAATGCAATTACTGTATACGAGTTTAAACCAGCATCGGTAACTGGAAAAATAATGCTTTGCGCAATCAAAAATATCTGGGAAAAATTCTGTCTGCTTTGAAAAATCAATTTCGCAACCATATTTCCTCCTGAAAGTTGAATTAATAAAAAGAAAATTACTTTTGAGTAGTCCATTCACCGAAGCAGGGTCCTTGAAGGAAACTTGGTTGACAACCCGATTTCATTGTGTGACAATCCGTTATGCGAAATGTCTATTATCCGGGGTTCTATTGTGTTCATGACTTATATTGATCTAGAAGTAAGTAAGCGCACCTCAAATTAAATATTTTACTGTGCGGGGTGACCCACTCCACAACGATCTTGTCTACAACAATTTTCTCTGTATAACGAATTCGTTCCCAATGTTATGGGAGATATTTCTAACGAAGTTCTTACTGCAACGATTTTTTTTTTTGCTCCTTTTTCGTTCTGGAGAGTCCACCTGTAGTTCAAAATATCTTTGAAGCGCTTCGTGGTCAGTTCGTCGAGCTTAGTGCGTGTGATATTCGTATTTTATTTTTTTAGTTACCTGACGTGAGTGGTACATTATATATATTTTTTATTCCTCCGTCATTGTGAGCTGGGGATGTCCCAGACTGGGGAATATTTTTTGGAAATGTCGAACCCGTGTCGTGTGGTGATATTTTTTTTGCGTATTTCACTGGACGTTCGCTCTCCTATCGACTACTAGTGTTCTCCTTGATGCTCCGTATGTGTGTTTGTGTGAATCTCGAAATTTTCGGTCAAAAGCTGCCTCTGGAGGGCTGTGATTTCTTATCTTGCGTCGGGGATAGATGAATTGGCTGAGTCACGGGAGTTTTTCTCGGTACCGGTGTGCAAGAATATTCCCTTATCATTGTGATACTTCGTGTTTGTTGTATGTGTTCCTGCGGATGGATCGAACGCTGCTGCTTGGTGGTTCGCCTGTGGGCAACGCAGAATTTTACTTTTTATCGGTGAAAGTTCGCGTCATCAATTTTTTTGTTTCGTTTTATTCATCCCCGGTGTTTGGCGATTAATTTGCATTGCGACGTTGTATCGGATTACCCGATCGCATCGTTGAAGCCCCAGTTGTGGGTCTGCGATGGTGATTGGACGATCTTCTCCCCCCGAGAAAATGTTTTCCATCTCTTTTAGTGTGTGTCCCTCAAAACACGGAAAGAACCTCGGATATTTTTTTGCGATGGATAAGTTTTTGGCATTCGTGTTCGAAAGAATGCTGCGAAATTTCGAGCTGATTCTGTCGTTTTTCCCCCTGGAAATGAAACGTTGGTTATATTGATTTTTTCTTAAAATACGAAGAGCTTTCGACTGCGGCTCGTTTTCATTCTGCACTTTGTTCAAGTGACGCGATTCGCATTTATTCATGTGCAGCATTTTTACTTTCTGAAAAATTGTCATTAAATTCAACGCTGTACAATGTTCGATGATGAACTATTCGTGTTTATACAGTAGTACAGTACCAATTTCAACATCTCATAAATTTTATTCGTATTCAAACTTCTGCAAATTCTGTAATACTGTAGTTTATCATTTATCTGCAGTAACTTTGCTACCTTAAATAATTGTGATTCTAATTTTTGGCGATTTATGAAAATAATCTCCAATAGCTCATAAATCTTATTAATATTTAGACGCATGCGAATTCTGAAGTAGTAAATTTATTCAGTGCTTTATTCAATGATGAAATAAGTGTGATTCTGATTTCAGCAAGAATAATTTCTGCATTAGCTCATACTGTATATCGTATTAATAATCAGACTCTCGTTCAAATTTTGAAATATTTTTCAGCAATCTGAACTTCAGCTCACTTTTCGAATAGGATTAATATTCATCAATTCACCTGAGAAATGACGGTTGCTGTTTTTTTTTCTTTCTGGGGGAAACACGACAGTTTAGATTTCAAAGCCTGAGGTTGAATGATTCTTACTTTCATCTCATGCATTTTTCCAAACGTGATGGACATTGTTCGTTCTTTTTCGGGGGAAATTTTCCGTCGTAACTGACCGATTGCCGCGATTTCGGAGAATGTTAATGTTTGCTAGAATTTTTTTTATGAAGATTGATGTCCTTCCCCAGGTTTGGCCCAGTGTGCTGAATTGTGTTGGCAGCTTCGTGGTGAAGCTGATAAGCGACAAGTTCCTGGTGCGGTTGTTGGTTTACAGCATAATATCGGACTCGGTGGTGCTGTCGTGGTTGCGCTTTATCAGCTCGGTTTCCCAGCAAGTAAAAATTCAGCGAAGTAAGTCGTTTTCGCATGCCATACTTCGCTAAACTTGAGATTTTCAAGGAATAATATGAAGAGAAAAGTCTAAATCATTTTCATCCTTTGCAAACTTTCACTTTATCTTAATTTTCGCTTGAACAAAAATGATGGTGGAACATGCGATTGGTGCCTTTTTTTTCTAGTTATATCTACGAGAGGTGGTTCATCGTTTCTTCAATGGCTTGAAATGCTTACTGGAAATTTCTGAAAGAGAGTGCTCAAGTTACTGTGAGACTCAGAAGCAGACCTGAATTGAAGATTTTTCAATGCTGGAATTACTCTACAACTTACAACATTTTAGACAGCAACCTTTTTTTTTCCCAGCATCACTAAAACATCGATTTCCAGGATCATCGCAATTTTTCCTCGAAAATTAGCTGTCAGGTTTTGGATATTCGTTTTCAGGAAAATAGATTCGAAAATTCAGTAACATTTCGACGGCTTGCAAAATCGTAGAACATGCTAGTGTAGCAGATAAACCAACCTTATTTCCTTGCAAAGATGAAGGGCACTTTCAACTGTGTTTTCTTTCCATATAATCTGATTGAGCAGAATTCTGATTTAGAAGTCGAGAAGTTCGAGGCTTACTGCGATAACATCTATTTAATCACCATATATCTAACGAAGGAGAAGAAGTCACGAAACAATTATGAACCAATTCTTGTACTTTCATGAGTAACGATTGAGAACGCTTCGTTGCATTTTAGGCTCGAGGGCTAATGGATTATTTGTCTATTCTTTGTTTTAAAAGGATGGCTGTAGAAGATGAACCAAAGGCGGAAGAATTCGCTGCGAACAAAGTCTTCACCGAAATCACCAAAGCTCTCGAAGAAGAAGGCGAGAAGTACGTCAAGAAAATTCGCGGGAAATTCCTTTTCAAAGTGCGAAATCGCAATGGGAAGGAAGGCTATTGGCTAGTCAATTGCAAAGATGGCAATGGGTCCGTTACCTTTGGGAAAGGTGAATTGGTTGAAGTGCATTTTAATTTGAATGGCGTAGTTGAATTATCTTGCGTTTTCAGGTTCTGCGGACTGCACCCTTGTTTTGGATGATGCTGACTTGGTGGACCTCATGATGGGAAAGGTTAATCCTCAGCAGGCTTTCTTCAAGGTATATACTGTATTGAATATTCTTGAAAATTTCGTATTTCTGTCATTACTTTTCGATTGATTCCTCTAAAAAAAAATGCGGGTTTTAAAGCTGGGTCTTTTTTTTCTGTCGACATTCGATAGTAACCTCGATTTTTCATTCTTTCTTAGACATTATTTTTTGTTACGGAACATTTCTCAATGAGGTTCGTGATTCCGCAGATTCTGTGACATATGAAAAATCGTGAATAATTAACGTCTACCTAAGCGGCCAATCAATTGCAGTAGCTTCGATAAGGTTCATGATGCATAAGACATCTATCTTATGCTCTACCAGTGTCGGACGTTTCAAACAAGCATAAACGAACTCAGCTTTTCTCACTCTTGATCGTTCTAGGAAACAGACGCTATACTTTCACAGATTATGTAACATTTTCCTGTGCAATACAATGAAATATTTTTAATTGTCGCTCTTTCTTAAGTACTGTAACTCATTATTCTTCCCTTTTATTCAGATGCGCACATTGTACGTCGTGTTGTGATGAATAAGTTTTTGAAAGAAATGTGCGCAGCGGTTTGTTGCCTACTCTTGATAAATGCGTAAATACAGTATGTGAATGACATCGATTTGATGCTCAGGTGAAAAGAAACTTTTAGCTGTTGGAGAAAGAACGTTTTTGAATCACACTTTCTTCTGTTGTGCATTGAGATTTTCATGACAGTGAGGCTATTTTTTATATTTTCTTTACAGGGGAAACTCAAAGTTCAAGGAAACCTTGGACTTGCCATGAAACTGGAAAGTTTGCAGAAGGAGTCTGCTTCAAGGTTGTCGACGATCCGAGCGAAACTTTGAATGATTAAAATTCCAAGCGTTTAAAATTGAATGATCAGCGATTTTTTTTTTCGTTCTTCGCGTTATTCCTAGTCTTTCAACGACTCTATCGTGGGATGAAGTGAATCGTCGGTTTCAGTGCCGTTTTTTTTCCCCTGTTCATGGGCAATTAAGGATATTTTGCATTTGTTGGTGATTTTGTGATGGGAACCTTCGTGTTTCGGTCGCCTCGGACAAACATTTATGGTGTTTTTGGACTTTGGAACGTATATGGGATACAACAACTACGAAAAACAGGAAGAAGAAAAACGTGTTTAATTTTGCTTGCGTTTCCGGGGTGTGCTGAGCGTGTACATTTTTGTAAAATTTCTTCTGTACGCTTTTCTTTTTTTTTTTAGACTGGCCAGCATTGGAGTGTGTGTGTGTGTATGTGATGTGCCGCTTTTTGCGAGAATGTGCTGTGAGAAGCTTTTTTCCTTTCGTGTGCTGATCTGAAATTCTCTGGATGTCCAGCCCGAGTAAAGCTTTGCTGGGGTCCTTATTGAGACGATTCTGGCCTAGAGGTCTGTTACCGACTGCGGCGTTTGCATGGGCTTCTCTCCTGTTTCCGTTTGAGTCCTGACGATATGTAAGAAACCTTACTGATCTTTCGGGAGAGCGACTTCATTTCTTCTTTCTTTCCTGATTTCCACTCGTTTCATATAATTACCATATGAAGAAATTCTACCTCTTGACTTAGTTGCCTGATGAATTAAAACTAATTTAAAATTGCTTCTCGCACCTCTTTTTTCCTTTCGGTGGATGTGGGCTTCTTTTCTCTGAGCAGTGGTCTTCTGGTTTAGATCCGACTTCAGAATCTGACTTCTTATTCCGGTAATGCTATTTAAGTTGAATAATATTGATAATCATTGTATATATGATTAAATTTGGATTTTTTCTAAATAAAGATGAGCGAAGAAAAGTTTCATTTTTCTTAGAAGAAGAGGATGTCCTAATTTTTTTTGTGGAGTAAAATGACGTGTCATGTAAAAAAAAAAGTTGCTCGACGTATTCATTGAACATTTCTTGAGCATAGATATTCGATGATTAATATCATGTGCACATTTTTATACCTCTGATGATCGTGAACATTTCAGTGGCATACAATTTTTCTGTACATTACCAGTGGTAGAAACTTTTCTTAGTTTTGTACTTCACGGTTAAAATTCGAAAGAAATTGTTTTTCGCTCTGGATTTGCACAGGGAAGCGTTGATGGTTATTTATTTTCAGGTAAAACTGAAATATCTCAACCATTGCCAAACTTGTGGCCCTAGAATAAACCGTCTTAGAGAAAATGTTGTTATTGAGGATCCAATTTAAGTTGATGACATTTGCTTGACGACTAAATCTTTCGAATATTCTAGAATAATTTCCACCAATTTTCCATCATCAGGATTGCTAAAAAATCCAAAAAGATAGTTTCGACTTGACTTGAAGTTAATTTCAGCCACATTTATGAGGTTCTTTTCTATTCAGCCTTTTGAAACTGTCGTTTCATATGGTTGTCATATGAAAAAATTCTACCTCTTGAATTTTTTGCTGAGATATGTACACAATTTAATCGAAATTCGGTTGTCCTGAGAACTGTCAATCCCGATAAGCTGAATTTGGGCGAACAGTTTAATATTATTTTAAATTTCTGTGATTTGAAGTAGTTTAGCTTGCATATTCTCGAACTGGATTATCGTGGCCATTTATCTTTGTTTATTGTACGTGGGGGATTTTTTTTTCTTGCGTTCTCCTAAAATTAAACTTTAGAAGGAGGCGAAATTTCCGGGATTGTTGCTATCAGTAAATTTGTACAGTGTTTTAATTTGAAAAGCCAGTTGACAAGTTTTGTAATGATGATCAGCTCAAGTGCGTGACTTGACGGGAATGTGCAAATTATGACTGAATTTATTTTCTCGTATATTTTATGAACTCCTGATTCAGGTTTCGAATAGAAAATACAAACTAATTCAATTTTCTTACAGAGAAAGCTATGGCTAGCTCGAAGCATCCTTGCGGTAATCATCATGGACACGGAGCAGACTGCTCAGTCATCAAGCTTCGGGGCAAGATTTACAAAGACGTTCTTGCTTCCCGGAAGACCTCCAGCGATTTTCTTTGGGCTACCCAAACATGGATACCATCAGAAACCTACTCCTCGATTTCCAAGGCTGTACCTCCCAAAGATTTGATAGATCTCGTGTCGAAAAGTCCACGAATTGCTGACGTCATTTCGCAAGTGGGTATTTTTCTTTTCGTGCGTCTGCGAGTAGACCTATTTTTATTTTATTTTGTATGATGGTATTTCACACGTTGTCCATCACATTGACGAATTGTTTCAGTGTGGGTAGATGTCGTCCCTATCATCAGTCGCAGAGGTATTTTGATCTTGCTCCAAATCATCTCCAGTTCAATCTGCTTCTGTAAGCTTGCTTAAAATTTCGTTGTAACGAATTTTTCATTACAACGAATTTTTTTTAGGGTTCCAGCAGTATAACAAATAGGTCACACCAAGGTTACAGTTGGTGCATTTGTGTGATACTCCTGTTATGTCACATTTGTGCACCAAATGTAGCCCTGGAATGGTAGCAAAATTTCATCTACAGAGGTGCATGCTTGTAGCCCTAGAATAGCCCATGTACGCCAGTTTTGACCCCAGTGTGCATCAGTTGTGGGGTCACACAAAGAATAGCTCACCACTTGGGATTGTTTGCACACATTTATTTGTTACCATAAATGTAATCCCAGTGCTTTAGAAATAATTGTTGCCCAAAATATGTGCATGGGCTGTAGGAATATTGGCTAATTGGCAGAAAAATGTAAAAATCTAACTTGTGTAGCATTAAAATTCAATTGTAAAATTTGGAATTCTAACGATTTTGTCCATTTAAAACGGTATTGTATAGAAAATGCAGTGAGTCGTTCTCAGAATTTTAAAAGGCTCCTGCCAGATCTTGTAAATGGCTTCCTTCATTTTCATTAAACCTGTACTGAATGTTTGAAAAGTACTGTATTGCAGTATTTCAAGGAGCATATTTGGTAGATTTGAATCCCAAAGTTCTCTTTATTACACTTATTTTTCAGTTTGTATTTCAATAAAATCAGTAAAATTTCAGGAAATCCAAAGCGTGACAGGTCTTAGTAATAGAAATAAATTTTTAATTTTTCTTCTGAATTCCACAGAAAGACAATGCAATGACGTCAGTTCCTAATATTTCTGTCAAAATACTGTCTATGCCAAACTTGTTTGTGCTCATTTTATAACTTTCTAACAATAATGATTTAAATTATTTTTGCTTCGAGCAATGCTTATCATTCTTCTTGACGTGTGTGCCGAAAATTCTAACCGAAGTATTATTCGTGGAATTCGCAAATGAACTTCTCTGATCTTGGATCTGCACTGAATTCCAGTAAAAAGCTTTGCTTTTCTTTCTCTTAAAGGAATCCCATGGCGACGCGAAGAAAGCAGAGGATTTGCGCAAACGGACGAAAGATATTTTGAACGAAATGTGTCACAATCAAGAAATGAAGACTGTGCGGTTCTTCGCAGTCATCTTGTCGAAACTAGTTCGTCAGATTTTCTGCCATGTTTACATCAACCGAGCTGGAATCGAAAAAGTAGGTTCATTTTCTTGCTTATAAATTATTCGTATTCTTTTTAGCATGGCCCAAAAGGTATTTACGCGAACATGTGACGCATACCTTATTTTTGTTCTTGTTTTAATACACGAAAAAAAAAAACAGGAAGAGTCAAAATAAGGAAAGACATTCGAGATTCAAAAGAGGATTTTTATCGATTGATATCTCGTGAGCCCCAGAAACATCTTTCTGCAACTTGGGAGAAGTTTAAAGCCAGATCCGGTGACTAAGTGAAAAATTTAAAATATTCTAACGCATTTAGTGACATCTAGCTTTTTTAATTGATTAATTGTATTGATAACGCCGTATTTTATTATAGCTAAAGTTGAACGAGCCGTTATTTACGCTTTGACGTTGCACTCTTCTGTTTTCGAGGGAATTCAATTATTTAAAATTTGATCCCAACTTTGGTTCTGTAGTATCCATAAAATAGTTTTTGGTTTACTGTGAAGCAAGTGACAGGGCTCTTGAGATTTACCGAACACTGTACCTCTTTTTTTCAGTTTCAAAGGCTGAAAATGTTGGATGCGTTTAGTGGTGCATTTTATTTACATAAATTCAATGTTGAAATCATGAGTGCAGTGAGACCCCCACATGTGGACACCTCGACCTGCGGACAATTTTACATAGGCACACTTATTTTCCAATTTAAAAAATTAATAAAAAAGGTCAGACATGAGGATACTGACTCAACATAGGGACATTTTGTGATAAAATTGCAAATAAGTTTCTGGTCAAATTACGAGAAACGGATATTTTTAGCCCTAAAATTGATGTTAGGAAATTTCTTGGGCATTTCTCACACCAATTTACCATCCATTTAGCTAATTTAAAAAAATTACCTCCAGGCTAGAGGGACTTCCTTCTCTCTTTTTCACTTGAATGTTATTTTTACAGAGAATGCCAACATTTCTATGTACTGTACAGAGGTATCAGTATTCAATTCTCCAAATGTCCATATTTTGTTGAAATATATTGATTGGATCAGTTTAAATTGGGAGACAATTTTTATTTTCATGGAATTATGGTGAGTATTTTGTGCATGAAACACCAATTGAAAATTATGTAATGAAAATCTAAGGGGAAAATGAGACTCTACTTAGGGACACTCTTGATGCACCAAATTATGTCCGCATCTTGGGGTTTCACTGTATGTTGCTTTTAGGTCAGAGCTGCTTTGCCACATGCACCGACAATTCTTTTGCCGACTCACCGGAGCTACGCGGACTTTTTGGTGATATCCTTCCTGAATTATTCGTATCATCTCCCGCTGCCTGTGATAGCTGCTGCAATGGGTAAATGCCTTCAAAGAATGCCCCATGCTTCCTTTTTTTTTAATTGAAATTTTTTAATGTTTTAGATTTTACGGGAATGTCAGGAGTTGGAGAACTTCTTCGGCGCAGCGGAGCGTTTTTCATCAAACGCAACGTTCGAGAAGATGCGTTGTACCGTGTCATTTTATTAGAATACGTGCAAACTATCATCAGGTTAGGGAATCAACCCCTGGAATTTTTCATTGAAGGAACGAGGAGCAGAACTTCCAAGTCTTTGTCGCCAAAACTCGGTATGATTTCGACATTTTATGAATGAAAAAAATAAAGGATTTTCACAAATTTAAAGTCATTCCAAGTGCTGAAATATTTCAGATGTTCCGAAAAGGTTTTTGAACTAAAATATCGTTGGGTGAACAAGGATTTGTTGCACTTGAAGAAAACCTGTAACGATTAAACAAAGCGTTTATTTTCAAGTCTTGTTATTAATCCCCCCCGTGAGTGTTTTTTGAAGGATTTTTCTTATTCATATCGTGTATTACCCGATAGACGTCATTTGTATGTACAGTAAAGTGAGTCCCCGCATAACGAAGAACCCGTGCGACCAAAAATTCGCTTAAAAATATTTTAATGGGGATAAAGTGACCCACACAACGACATAGTTTCACATAACGAAATTTTATGGCTCAAACTTTGACAAGATTTCGAATAAAACTTAAAAATACTTAAAAAATGAGAAAATGGGTACATTTTTGCCTTGAAAATTCGTTAATTTTGGAAAGTTCTGAGGGCCCAGAGCACAAATCCATAAGAATTACTTGAATTTCTCACTCGAACATCGTAAATTCACGATTTTATGCGAAAAGATGAAAGATAAATAAACAGTTTTGATGGGTTATCATGGCTTTTTATGTGCTTGTCTAGATCGAATTAAATAATTTAAAATGCAAACTCAAGGGAAATCGCAATTGTGTTTACGAAAACCCCACTTAACGAAACGTACCGAAGAACGAATTACTGTAGTTTCTTTTTGCGGGAACCCACTGTATTTTACAGTACTGTGCTTCACTAAAAATTTCGCGAACTATTCCTGAAAAAGATGCGAAGAAAATTTTGAGTTGTTTCTGTTGAATGCCTTTAGGTTTACTGGGAGCGTGTTTCGAAATGTACATGAAAGGAGTCGTGCCGGATTTGAACCTTGTTCCAATCAGTGTTACCTATGATCGGACCATGGAAGAGAAACTGTATGCCTATGAGCTGCTTGGTATTCCAAAACCAAAAGAATCTACTTCAGTGAGTAAAAACAAAATTCAAAATACGACGCTGATTAAATTTTTATCGTGTTCCTGATTTTTCCTTCTTATTTTTTTCCTCAGGGATTATTCAAAGGGCTTTCAGTACTTTCGGAAAGTCACGGAAACGCTTACGTTACTGTTAGCGATCCGATATCTCTGAAAGAATTACTCGAAAAATCTATTGCTCGGCACGGATTGGCGGAACAACGATCGCAAGTCCGTTCACTCCACTTGGACGCTATGACGAAACACGAATTGGAGTTTCTTGAAAAGGGTGGCTTGGAGGTGCTGAGAACTCACGGAACACTGGCCATCATTCCCCTGTTTTCGTTGATCTCGATTTCCTTGGCTGCTCGTTGCCCATTGCGACAATTGTCTGATTTTGAAGCCGTGAAAATCGGTGTCGTCTTGCAAGACGTGAAAGAGCTGAAGTCGGTTGTTGAGGCTGTCGGTTGCTCCGTTTCGCGTAAGTTTTTATTTATTCATTTATTATTTTTTTTTCGCGAACATTTCGGGAAGGAAAGGGAGGTGCTGGAATAAGTGTGAGGGTTCATAATTTCGCCTAAGTTTGCGCATGTGTTTCCCCTGAAAAATATTGGTAACTGTACTACATTGTCTTGGATTGAACGAAGTTGTGTTTCGAATCGGTTTTTATTCAGATGACGTGACTGAAGAGGCGCTGAAAAGTGTTCTGGTTATCAGAAAAAATCTGCTGTCTTGCTGCCGGGAAAGCGAAAGTGAAGTGCTAGATATTGAAGCAATTTCTTTCCAGGATCTGATGAACTGCACATTGAGGCTGAAATCTCTTCATACTCTTCAAGGGGATTCTCAGGTTCGATTTGGTTTTTGTCTGAGCATTTTACAGGAAAAAATAAAAAATAAAAATTATTGAGCATGAATTCGTGCCTCGCTTGATGCGCCTGATCAGTGTGAAGGTCCATTATCCGAGTTATGTGAAACTTGGAGAAGTGGCTGATGTATTCCAGACCCTCAGAAGATTTATCGGCCTTGTAATGAAGCGATTTGTGAAATGGTTAATATGTTTTTAATCCCCTGGAAATATCCTTGGTGAAATTTATTGATAAATCCCGAAATAAATACAGTGGGGCCCCGAGATGTGGACGTATTTGGTGATTGGAACTTCTTTCTATGTTTGAGCGTGTGTGTGTCAAATTAAGTTTTCCCATAGAATTCAATGATAACATCTTTAATTGGTTCCCCTCGTTCATCAAAAATTAGGAATAAAGTCCCCAAAAATTGAATTAATCCTTTTTCAACTTCAATACACAGTAAATAATTGTGCTGAAGAAAACTGTGCTGGCACAAGAAGGAGATCTAAGAAGCAAAGCACAAAAACAAGTCTGGCTGTACTGTGCACACATGATGGAAAAAATTTGAAAAACCACAAAATTAGCCCATTTTTGGTACAGTAATAGAGTGGATTAATTCTATAAAAAAATTGGTTTATAATTGTTTTGAATATAAATAGCTCAATTTGTTTGGGATATATCAAATTTAGAATTTTTTTTCAATATTTCTCGAAATGTGGTAAGAGTTTCCAAATTTTGGGGAAGAATGTTTTTAGTTACAAGCGTCCCTAAGTCGAATCGTCCGTATGTCGGGGTCCCACTGTATATTTTCAACATTTATCAAATTATAGCAACATCAGCACTTGGAAGTAAGGAAAAAACTGCTCACCATAATCCATTTTATTCAAAAAGCTTTCATCTACTCTCAACAGTGTTGCCAGCAGGAAAAAATTCCCTTATTATCCGAAGAAAAAATCCGTGGAACCCGGAAATTGCGCGAAACATCAATTTTGCGAAGCGTTCATTATACCGGGGCGTTCCTTGTATTCATTATTATTTTCGTTTTTTTTTTAAAAAGGTTGTGAAAGGTGGAAGAGGCCATCCGTTGCGCCAAGAAATTCTGGTTCAAGCGGTTCCACGAATAGTTCTTCAGCAGTGTGCGAATGCTTCCTTGCATGCCTTGTTCAGGCCGTTTTTCTTGGTGACTGTCGCTCATGCGCTTTGTGACGGAGAAGGAATCGTTCATCCAGGTGATTTGCTGTTTTCTTTCTCAGTTTTATGATTAATTAAAAGTTGATGACCCCTACATTATTAGTATTATTATTATTATTGTGATTATGCCAGCCATGAGTGGTATTTTTTTTAACCAAATTAATCTAACTTGGCACCTATATTTTGCCTAATCCGTGTACTTAATGTATGGAAATTAGACTGGGATGAATTTGACCCAAACGGAGTTAGCATTTAATTAAGTCAAGGGAAAATCTTTCTTATGCATTTATGACATAAACTAAGCTAGCTTCTACCTACCCTAATAGAGTTTTACAGATGTAATCTCTCATTGCACCAAACTAATTCATGGGTTTGCACCTGAGCACCTACTGTATATCCAACTTAACCCAACACTACAGGAAACTAACCTAACTGAATACCAACTAAACCAACAAAATAAGAATTGGCCGAAGTGAATACCAATTGGCCTAACTGAATACCTACAAACCCAACTGAATTATAAGGAGCCTAACCTAACTTCAAACTTACCTAACTTAACATCAAACTTACCTAACTAAGCATCAAACTTACCTAACTTAGCATCAAAATTACCTAATTTAACATCAAACTTACCTAACTTAGCATCAAAATTACCTAATTTAACATCAAACTTACCTAACTTAGCATCAAGATTACCCAACGTAACATCAAACTTACCTAACTTAATATCAAACTTACCTAGCTTGACATCAAACTTACCTAACTTAGCATCAGACTTCCCTAGCTTAACATAAAACTTATCTAAATTAGCATCAAGCTTACCAAACCTTATGAAAAACACACCTAACCAGAAGTCAAACTTACCTAACCAAATGCAAAACTTGCCTAGCCTAATGTTAAACTTACCCAACTTGACATGAAATGTATGTGGCTTAACATAAAACTTACCTAACTTAACATCAAGCGTACCCAGACTGGTGCCAAACTAAACTTACCTAACTTAACATCAAGCTTACCAAACCTGGTACCAAACTGAATAACCTTAACCTAGCTTACATCAACGAAAATATTTTGAACTCCTGTATACAACCTATTCAGAATAATAGAATGAACTCCTATCTTCAACGTACTGTACCTTATCTGACTCCAAAGTTACGTGATCTGACATCAAACAAAACCAACCCCCAAGAAATGCTTTGAGATGACTTGAACGTAACCTGATACCTTGGTCATTAAGTAATAATGAGTCACAAAAATTACCATAAAATTAATTGCCAAAGCTTTGTGCCTTGAATTTGAGTTGAAGAACGGGCACGTGAAGGGCGCAATTGCTGTGAAGACAGTTTCAACAAAACATTGTTCAATGTTGCGTTACTGATATTATTCTTGGTTATGTAACAGGAGAGCTGCTTGATCGATTCCGATTCCTCATGCGATTGTTCCGCTTCGAGTTCGTCCATGATCCTGATTTCATTGATGAGGTTGGTTTTATATGGGGTTTTGATGGTTGCCTGCAGCAGTCACTAAGAAGAAATGTTTGTGTGTACCCGTTTTCGCTGCTGGAGATCCTTTGAATTTTTGACATTTGATAATGCAGTACTCATTTTTCTAGATTTTTCCGGGAAGTTCACTATTTTTTTTGCAAAGGCTGCCTTCATATTCATTACATTTTTTGAGAAGTGTAATCTTAATTTTTTTTTTTCAACATCACTCGTGAGAATACTTTTCCATCCACAGTAACTATGTTCATAACATCTTATTGATCTTTTTCTTCGAGCACTTATTTTATTCTATTGCTGTGCATTAAGTTAGTAGCAATCTGGTCAAATTTCATTGAAAGATTGTATGCATACAATTGGCAATTGGGTGACATTTTATTGAAAGATTATGAAAACCGCGATTCCCCGAAAAGGAGACATCCGGTTTCATCCGCCTTGTCATCCAAGAGTTTTTTTTTTTTGGCTGAAAGCAATACTGTACTGTATTTACGAGGGTTGTAACAAAAGTTCTCGGAGTAGCAATGAAAATGGCATACAGTTGAGCTGAAAAATTTTTTCTTCAGGGAAAACATATTCTTTGGCACACAAAAAAATCAGCCCTGTTTGACAATTTTTTTTCATTATTCACCCTGGCAGAGTTTTGCTCTCACTCAAAAGATGAGGCGCCCTTTTTTTGTCGTAGCCCGGCTTTCCCCTCAGAATTTTTGAAATCAACTTGGCATTCTTTCTAAGGGTTGCCTGCAGGTCATCCAAGGCAATTCCGCCATTTTCATCAACAGCCGCCACATTGGCCGCCACTTTGGCGGCTGTCGATGAAAATGGCGGAATTGCGTTGGATGACCTAGATGACCTTTTTTTTACAAAACTCTGCCAAGGTGAATAATGAAAAAAATTCGAAAAATTTGTCAAACAGGGCTGATATTTTTTTGTGTGCCAAAGAATATGTTTTCCCTGAAGAAAAAATTTTTTTCAGCTCAACTGTAAGCCATTTTCATTGCTACTCCGAGAACTTTTGTTAGAACCCTCGTATGAATTTAACTGGCTGGAAGTACTCCGGAAAACCCCATCGATCGCAGCTTTGGAATTTCCGCTCCTGTAACGTTTGCCTGATTTTCTTGATGAATTTCCCAGGATTTTGTGGCTGCTCAAGAACTGCTTGCGGAAAGGAAAATTCTGCAAACGTGCGGGGATAAGTTCAAATTGTCAGCGGAAAATTCCACATTGGCCCAGTTGGGGAAGTCTGCTGTTCGCCCGTTCCTCCAGGGTTACTTGATCATGGCATCAGTGCTTACCAATATTGTAAGCGATATAGCATCAGCTTTTTTTAATATTCCGTGTAATGAGAAAAATGTGCAAATGTTCATCTCTGTTTTTTGTTTTTTTTTAAAGAGTAACGAGGTGAATGCGTCAGAGGCTATGAAACTTTATCAAGCTAGAATCGAACAACTTGTCATATCTGACGCATCCGTCGAGTGCAGTACGCTCATGCTGGATTTAGCTTCGAATGCCCTGAAGGCGTTTTGTGAGGCTGGGGCTTTGCAGAAGAAAAGGTTTGCCCTTCATGTTTTCCCTCGAATTTTTTTTTTTTTTTTTTGCCTGGTGTGTGGATTTTAATCTCGATGTTCGGACACGAGTTGTTCACATACTGCGTCCGAATGTCGGAAAATACAGGCGTTTAAAAGAATTCTTCCCTAGACATATATAGAAAATGTTTTTCAGATCCCTTAAAGGGAAGATGGATTTCTTTTCAGGTTATAATGCAGAAATGTAGATGAGGTAGTTCTCTGAATTTGCTCGAGGAATGACGCAGGAGGAGGAAGCTCTTTTTTCAATCATATATACAACATACCCTTACTTGTGTGTGTTTTACTGTACAGTATAGTATAATATAAAAAATGGCATGATGGAAAAATGAACGCTGGACAATAAATACAAATTTACATTTTAAACATAATATGTCATGAGTTATGTACAGGACATGCTTCCAGAAATTTTATCCTCACAGTATGCAATTACATAGAAGTTGGTCAAAATTGAATTCAAGAATTTTTTCTGTGCATTAGAATACATGAAAAGAAGTAAAATACATGGAAAAAAAGCAATTTACCCTTTTACTTGCATACTTAGACATGCAACGTGTATATACAGTATTTACTCAAGTGCCATGTTCACCTTTTTTCTCAAAATTGAGAGAGAAATATGGGGTGCGCATTATAGGTGGGTATACATTTTGTTTTAAAAGTTTGCCACAATACAGTGATGTACTTGATTCTAACAAGAAACTTTGCACCAAATCTACTATAGAAGAACTTGTTGTACAGTACTGGAAATATTTGAATAATTAGTAGAATTCAGGCTCAATTCATGTCTAAATTTAAATTTGGTTGTTTTTACTTTTTAAATATTTCAGTTGTAGAGTCACAAAAATTGCCTGAGTGGGGAAATTGGTGCACACTGGGGATATGCTTTTAATTCTACACAGTGACCCTGCTGTGCACCTGAAGTGTACCAAAGTTCTTCTGCTGCACATGCATATCCCCAATCTGCACCAATTGTAAGTTCACATCAGGATTACTCAGGGTCGCATTTGTAAACAAATAAGTTACACCAAGGTTACAGTTGGTGCATTTGTGTGATGCTCCTGATATGTCACATTTGTGCACCAAGTGTAGCCCTGGGATGGTAAAAAAATTTCCTCTAAAGGAGTCCACACTTGTAACCCCAGAATATCACATATGCACCAGTTGTGACCCTAGTGTGCACCTACTGTGGGGTCCCAGCAAAAATAGCTCCCCACTTGGGTGGGTGTGCCTCTCACTGGCATATACAATTTTGTAGAAAATTTTGACTGAAAACCCCTGATTCTACTGTATAGTGGAATATTCCAGTGTACAGTATTTTGTTTTATCAAGTTGATCTCACTGGAGCAGAGCCAAATAATTTATTACAGTATACTTATTTTTCTGGTTTGCAGGAGCGATGTGTATGAGGTGAATATGCCGGCAATGCAGCTGATCCATGGTGAATTAGGCAAGTGTTGTCATTTGAAGGACTAATTTACATGATTCTCAAATCATACCTGTATGTTTCAGAAATGTGTGTTCCAGAAAATATGGATGCAGGGTTGTTCAAGAGCAAACTGTGATCAAAACGGGAAAGAAAGCACAACTTTTGTTGTTGTTCGTGGCACAAACAACACGCAACAATCACCTGTAAAATGTAAGGGAACGAAAATAAAATCTCACCAGTCCCAGAATAATTGAGTTGCCAAGGGATATAAATTCTTAGCAGAGCATGTGGTTTATATCTTTCAAAATCACAAAGACTTGTGATGATCTGTACTGTACTTGAAAACATTGTCAAGAGCTTAGTCAGCAGTTTTTTTTTTCTTGTGAGGTTTTTCCATCATTCGCCAGCATATACATGTACAGTATATGCTCACACACATAAAGTTTTATTGAACTTCCAATTTTTAGAAGTCTTATTCATTGTTATTGTTATTATGTTCTAGCGTCCAAGAGGTTTTTTTTTCAGGAAAGGTTCTTCATGTGTATGCGATATTGTTTGGTGCTTTTGGTTATTTGATATTGACCTCGATGGATATAGACGCTGAGAATTGATCACATTTTTTTACGGGTGTGGCCAATAAAGTATTATTAGCCAATGTTGCGTTTTTTTTTTTGCAGTGAAACCTTGACATATGCATCATAGTATTTCAGGTTCCCTTAAGTTAACTGTCAAGCTTTTTGTTTGGGCGAGTAAATATTTAGGCGTTGACATTATACTGTCTGAGGGAATATATGTGTTTCATAATTCATCTATAGTGATGGATGAATGTTTTTCTTTAGATGGGTACACTTTTTATTTTTAAAAAATCAGCTTCTGTAATATGCAAGATACCAGCAATGTGGTACATCAACAGTACTTTTTAGTGGTATTCCTATAAATTTATGAGTGAGAGAAACTTTATTTGGATTCAGTAGAAATAGTTGACCGCATGTATACAAGGGTTGGTTCATAAGTTTGAGATGTTTTATGAAACAGATCCAACTTAGTTTAATCAATTAAAAAAAAATTACTTGCATAGCCCCGTCATATATGGCAACACACCAACACTTCAATTCTGTTCAATAACATACTTTGCCAATTTCAATATCTATTTATTTATGCTACTTCAAATCAAAAGATTGGAGCAGTGGCAAAACAGTGAATTAAATTTTTGGTGCTGTTTTGATTTTTGGATTTATTGTACCAAAAAATGCATTGAGAGTTTGCAACTGTTGGAGAGTATATATGTTGAACAGTATAGTGAAGTGCGTTGCCAACTACTGCTGTGGCTATGCGGTTTAAAAATATTGAATTGTTGAAATTCCTATGGATATATTTCAGAAAGTCTCAAAACTTAGGAACCAATCTTTGTTTTTTGCACTTCATCCATTCAATTTACAAATATGTTATCTGATGATTGCTGATTCTGCTGAGAAATTATTGGAGCTTTCTGTATAAATGCGTTTATACTGTATGTTAGTATGTATTGTGAAAGAATCAAATAAGTGTTTATATGCTGGTCTGCAAATTTTAGGGTGAATTAAGGGTCTGCAAACACTAGCTGTATGCAGAGTTACTGACAAATGACTCAATATGGGAATGTGCAGATGTATTTTAGTGCCATGCAACAGCAATAAAAAAGGGAGGGGTCATAATTACAAAAATGTAAGTATATTTTGTAATGGAAATCGGTTAATATCTAGCTTAGGTGGAACACGAGATTAAAATTTATACAAAACCTTCTGGAAAGATTTAATGTTTAGTATACTTTTCCTTTCTCCCATGCATGAATGAGTGATGGATTACAGTATTGTGACCGTGAGGAACATGTCGCGAAAGTTCGCACTCACTGTTTAGTTGTCTGCATACAGAAAGACAGTCCCTTTTGAGAGAGATTTCCGTTCGTCGTAAATATGAACGTGTAAGTGCCTCTGTCTTTATTTCTGTCTCTTTAAACGGAAATCGATTGGAAACCTGTGAAAATCAACGCATGAATGTGAGATAAGATTCTGTCAACTCTGAGTTTGGAACGAACTTTGTCCCTGATTATATAAATCTACGTTCCGGTTGTTCCCCAAATTGGCGCGCATGATATCGAACAGCATCAACACGCTTTGAGCGTCAGTGTGGATAGGAGTGACGAGTTTGATGGTGTTGAGTTTCCTGTCGAATGTATGACCTCTTTTATCAGTTTCTTGGTACTTGTCTGCACCTTGCGTGTTCCCGATTTCGCGGTGTTGCAGTGAATTCCGTTCGATTGTTGCAGATGCTTTGCTGATTTCCCTCTAATGTTTACGTATTGAGTCTATCGTGGTGTCGGGGACGTATAGTCATGATCGGGGGCGTTTTCGTATACAACCATAAGGGAGAGGTTCTGATCTCACGCGTCTACCGTGATGATGTCGGACGCAATGCGGTCGACGCTTTCCGAGTCAACGTTATCCATGCAAGACAGCAAGTCCGTTCTCCTGTGACCAATATTGCGCGAACATCATTCTTCCACATCAAGGCTCGTACAATCCCGTGTGCGTAAGCGATCAAATCTAATGGTGATGTTGCTTTTCCTCTTTAGAAAGCGAACATATGGCTAGCGGCAGTCACCAAGCAGAATGTGAATGCTGCGATGGTGTTCGAATTCCTCAACAAGATGGTAGATCTGATGCAAGCTTATTTTGGAAAAGTTTCTGAAGAGAACGTGAAGAACAATTTCGTGCTAATGTATGAACTACTCGATGGTGCGTATACGTTTGATGAGTCCGTTCTTGTCGTAATCGAAGTTCATGTTTTGCTGCAGAATTACTCGATTATGGTTATCCGCAAAATACGGAAACGGGACCGTTGAAGACATTCATTACCCAGCAAGGCATCAAATCACAATCCAAAGAAGAGCAGGCACAAATTACTTCCCAGGTTACGGGTCAAATCGGCTGGCGTCGGGAGAACATCAAGTACCGCCGCAACGAATTGTTCCTTGATGTACTGGAGTACGTCAATCTCTTGATGTCTCCACAGGGTTCGTACTATTTGTACCTACTTCACCGTTAGAAACCCTTTCAAGAGAAAAACACTCTGACGCTGAGCTCATAGAGCACATTGTGCGTTGGGAAGGTCGCTTCAAGATCAATTTTGTTCGCAATGGGAGTTATTTCAAAATCGTTATGCCGAAGAAAATACGGGAAAACTTTGAAACGAGACTCAAAACTTGATCCCATGAAACGATATGCTGTATCAGGCGCTCTTAATCTCCTGTGTTTAAGATGTCACGGAATGGTCTTCTTTCAGGTCAAGTGCTGTCTTCTCACGTAGCCGGAAAAGTGGTGATGAAGTCCTATTTGTCAGGGATGCCGGAATGTAAATTCGGTATCAATGATAAAATCATGCTGGAAGCGAAGGGCAAAACTGCGGCAGCCGTGAATGATGACCCTACTCGATCAAAAAGTGCGATCGCTATTGACGATTGTCAGTTTCACCAATGTGTCAAGTTGAGCAAGTTCGAAAGCGAACATTCCATCAGTTTCATACCGCCTGACGGCGAATTTGAGCTCATGCGCTACAGAATTACCAAGGATATCTCGCTTCCTTTTCGCGTCATCCCGCTTGTTCGTGAGGTCGGGCGATCGAAGTTGGAAGTCAAGGTTAGTCGTTCAACCTGCCGAGTTTTTGTAACATTGCTATAATACGTGACATATAATGTAGTTGAAAGATTGTGTTAGCAATTTTTTGATACGTGCGAAAGTGTTTCCAAGGCTATTCAATATTTTTGGAGTGGAAGACGCGTGAGACAAGAGTTGCTTCCTGCGGTTAATCAACCTTCGCGGACGTTTTAAGCATTGAATTCCTCGAGGTAGCTTGAATTACTGGATTAACGCTATTACTATTCATCGATTCGACGCGTCGTACGCGTTAAATTTGGCATTATTTGAAATGCTTACGTTTTTCAAGTTTTAGAATATATCCAGGCTAATTTCGTTCTACCAATGAGGCTGAGCTGAAACATAGCGGAATTATTGTGCTCCAAAGGGCCGGTCACATATTCCATGAAATGTAGTTCGATCATGTGCTACGATTTTCGTATCCTTTTTCGAAAATCGTGCTTGATATTCGATGTATTGATCAGGTGGTGCTGAAATCGCAATTCAAAACGACCCTACTTGCGCAGAAGATAGAGGTGAAAATCCCGACTCCGTTGAATACTTCTGGGGTGCAACTCATTTGCCTGAAGGGCAAGGCGAAGTATAAACCGGCAGACAATGCCATCGTTTGGAAGTAAGTGATGACCATGTTAATGTAATTTTTGTGTAACATTTTGGCCATTAAAGTGCAGTACTTTCTAATGCAAAAGCGGTTCAAACACCTTTTTAAAATTGATTTAAAAAAAAAGCACAAAACTTTTTGGATACCTTGATCGTGAAAGGATGACAAGACATTTTAACCCTCTCTCGAATTCAATACAGGAATTCTTTCGAAGAAACGAGAATTTCAGGAAGTCGTAATCGGTGATATTCTAGGCCTAAAATGTTTCCATAGATACCTTGTTAGGATGGTGAAGTTGAAGGCAAGGGTTTGAGTATAACGCAGCATGTTACGGTTTTTATTTTTCTTTTCTCTTTCCTGTATCAATAAAATCATAGCGAAAAGGCTTCCGAAAAATTCGACTTTCGGAGGTTTGAGGGGAAAACCTTCGAGTTAGGGACGTTTTCAATGCATTGTTCCTGAGGGAATTCAGAGAGGGACTGGATAAAAGTTAGAGATCGGGATGTATTTTACTTGAGGAGATCCGAGTTATCGAGGTTTAAGTGTATTGAACCGATTGATGAAGAAATGTATTAAAATACCTTTTTTTTCAATTTCAGGATAAAGAGACTGGCGGGGATGAAGGAATCGCAGATTTCTGCGGAAATCGACTTGTTGCAAACGGACTCGAAGAAGAAATGGAATCGTCCGCCGATTTCCATGAACTTCGAAGTTCCCTACGCTCCCTCGGGCTTCAAAGTTCGTTATCTCAAGGTTTTCGAGTCTAAATTGAACTACTCTGACCACGATGTTATCAAATGGGTGCGATACATTGGTCGAAGCGGCCTCTATGAAACGCGATGCTGAAAATACTTATATAGATCAACTCATCGTCTCATTCTGCGCTCTCAACGGGGTTCTAAATTATGTATGTCTTTTTTTCTCTCTTCCGAATATTTGGGGAGTGTAGGATTGGATAATTCGGCCCTGTGAGTTGTTGGTTTTTTTTTTTTTTTGTGGAAGCAAGTGATCGGGATCCGTGCATTCCTGTTGCGAGTTGGAACCGTTTTCCTGTGGATTCCGGATGTGCAGCCCTTTTATTGTCACTTATCTGCAGTGTGTCACTTCGTGTCCCGCACGGTTGAGCGCGTCCCAAAACGCCGCGTGTTCAAAGCAGCGCTGAACACTTTTTAAAGTTATAAGCAATCGTGCGAAATAGTTCCTTGGTGTACAGTGATGCGGTTTGATGAGATCCGATTGCAGTCGCTTCTCTGAGCAGAATAAACTTGGGTGAAATTGAAACAAGTTTCTGCGCGAATATTTTACAACTTTCAAGTGCTTTTGCATATTTGCGTTTTTCCCTTTGCTGATCTTTGCTGTGCGCTGATCTTTCTTTTTTCTAAATGCGAGCTATTTTGGGACGCGCTCATTTGTACCGACACCATATCCCTCAGTGCTTTAGCGAACTTCTGATTTTCCGGGAAGAAGAAAAAGGAAGCATGCTTATGAATGATCATTGTTAAACTTCTTTCGAAGCGATGTTTCAACTAGGGTCACGCTGCAGAACAAAGCTACTCATAGTAAATTATGTGTGCTTGACGTTTTTGCCTGGGGGTTGATTCAGTTATTTTCTGCGAGAATTCCGTCGTTGGTCGTTGTCGAACGTTTTTACGGAACGTTTTTATTTTATTTCTTGCGTGACGGACAGGATGATGTTTTGGAAATTATGGTTTGAAGTGAAGTCTTGAATTTCGAGGAACCGTTATTGCCAAAACGATCTGCATGGGATCGCGTGGAACCGGCCGGCATTAATTGACTATCGAAGTGAGTGACGTTCTTCGATTGACCCGGTTTCGCGCGAAAAATTTAGCTTCTTCGCATCTGTGGCGTTTTTGAAAATTTTCAGAATATTTTATTTTCCCACCTAGAACTTCTTCGAACGGTTTTCAGCAGAATGAGACCATTAACCCAGTGTTTTTGTCAAGATTTCCTGATTCAATCTGAAGATCTTCTGAACATTTCACACTGTCGAATTCGCATCGATTGTCCAAAATTATTCAAATTTGTAATTGATTGTTTTTGGAACTGTGTACCCCTATTGACCAACATTTCAAATGTATCATTCTAAGTTGAAAAATTTTAATTTCTCTTTATCTTTTTAGTTGAAAATTTTCCCGACAAGCGTGGATTAGAAAAAAGAAGAAAGATTTAAATTGTGTCATCGGACAAATTAATTGTCGATGCATTTTCTAAATCATGCCTAAAGCGGAAACGGGGAAAAACCCCTCGTTTCGTTATCGTAACTCGCTCAAGTTGGTAATTTACCTTCTTATTTGCAGGTTTTTTTCGTTCTGGGACAGATGGGTGCAAAATTTAGCAGCGTCGGGCAGAATATAAATTCTGCGGGTGCTGGAAGTGCGGATGCCCCGACCGTCAGCTGTGGCGAACAATCCTTTTCCGAGAATGCCAGGGGTAATTTCTTCCGTTTTTTTTTTCTGAAATTTGAACAGTAATGTTTTCCATTTGTCCCGACGATTTTCAGATAGCGGATCAGAGGAGCAGATGGACTTGATGGGACTCGATTTCTTGAGAAGAAGCTCTACTGCAGGTGAGAAATTCTGGATCGATGTCATTTTATCAGAAGCATGTGAAAGTTGGAGTAACTCGGCTTTACAAGTGAGATGATATTGAGATTTTCAGTGAACTAAAATCCGTGTCTCTGCTGTTCTAGCGCGTGGAATAACAAAATATCCCCTTTTCAGAGGTGAATGCTCAACATTCTTAATTGTCATAGCTGCCCTTATGCGATTAAATAAGGAAGAATAAAATCAAGGCAAGTACAGTGTCAAGCTGTTGACTTTCATCTTTTACTCGAGTCCAAATTCACATTTGTATTTATTGCAGTTTTTTAAATATCATATCCTCCTTTCGATAAAGGAAAAAGAAAAAATTGTTAAAATATTCCGTACTTCTCTTTTGGGATTCTCCTGCCATGCTTCCAATTTTGTAACCATGTGTAGATTGTACTAAAAGATGAAATGAGAAGGAAGTGTAAGAAGAGCACTTGATGCATTCACAACTTTTTATTCCATGAATAGAGCAATTTTATACATTATGTACTGTTTTTTTTAAGGGAGTCATTTTTAGATGATGAAATGAAACCAGAGAAATTCTGAGAACATCATGTTAAATATTTTATGCAATACTGGAGCGTGTTTTGAATGAAAAAAGCAGAGCTTTTAGTCTGATGAGATGAACTTTTATTTTAATGCTGCAGAAGTCAGATTTTGCCATTTTTTCTGATAATTAGAAATCATTCCCTATGGTTCATTCACATATTCAAGGCTAAAAATTTTCTGTACTGTATTGTACACTAAGATTAAAGTTGAAAATAAGCTTGGTAAAAATGACTTTTATAACATGGTTTCTACGAAGAAACTGCTGGAACCTTTCTAAACGTTATTGGAATGATGTTACAAAGGAATTTCACTGTCTCAAAAAAGTTTCAGTCACAGAAAATCGGGGTGCGTGTCTAGCATGAAGATGAGCTTTTTTTTTAATCTAATAATTTTTTGTGTTGATGGGAGCGTGATACTCGAGGAAACAGGGTATTTATTTGGTTCAATTGAACGTTGGAAGATGATTTTTATTCAATTTTATGTTTCAGGGCCTCGTCGCTTGGCGTCGAGTCTTTTGGATGCGGAAAATGCTGAGCAGTCGGGATCAGAGAGTGAAGGTGTGGCCAGTGGTGGATCGTCGCTTCCCATGATGGGCTCCACACTCATGATGGACTTTCCGTTTTCCATGCGACGCATCATGCTGTCTGCTCAAAGTCTCCCGTCTGGTGTATGGTACATTGATGGTGAGTTATTTGCATCTGGGATATGACTCAGTCTTGCAGGCATGTCAGATGGAAATACAGTACTGTACAGTACAGTACTTTACTGCCATGTGGCATACCCATGTGCGCATGGGTGTCCAGAACTTTGACAACGAGTCGGAAAACGTATAAAAAGTCACAATTACTGACATCATTCCAGTTCTTTTGACAGAAAAATTTTGTGGTGGCATAGTAAGTGTATAACATTAACTTAACTTGTACAGATTAACTTTCTGAAAACCTTCGTATGAGAGTCATCTTTTACGGTGAAGTCTTGTTACAAAACGCTTTTAGGAACTGAAGAAAAAGTTTGTTGAACTGAATAATTTGTTATATAAAAGATATTTTCATAGTTATAACTGGAAAAAATGACTTGCATTTTAAGATTGAAATTTTTTTTAAAAAACTGAATGATATTTCAATAAAATATAACTGCATTTGTGCATTCTGGGAGTTTCAGAAGTCTCTTCATTTTTTGAGGATGATGTGTGGAACCACTGTGAAGCATGTTTGTCATTGATTACTGCTTCCATCCATGCTAAAAGATGCCTGCCTTAGTCTGGAAATTTTCACCTGGAGAATGCCTTGAACATTCCTCAAAAAAGTTAATGCTGTATTGGAATTTTGAAGTTTGTTATAATGAGATTACTTCAATATTTACTCCATGGGCTTTCTACTTGGTCTTGGAAACAATTTTGTGATAATGGTATTTGTTTTAATGATATTTTACTGTATGTTGCATTATATTATTTCAAATTATTCATTTCTTCTTTGTTGAATGATGGTGAACTTATGGTAATTTCATATTTTCTTGACTGCTATTTTTTCCCCCAATGTTGATAAAGAGATAAATGTTGGAGGGGTGGAATTGCACTCAATCATTGTGAGGAAATTTTTAGTCATGATTTTGTACTGTATTTGTGTTTTTATGCTTTTGAGCAGCTAGTAGTATCAAGTAAAATTCTGTATAGTGTACAGTTGAACCTTTGCAATTAAAATTTGAAGGAATTCCAAAGAAGTGACCGCGGTAGTTTAGTAATTCAAGAATAAAACCTGATTTGTATAAAACCTGCTGATCAGTTTTGAATGATTTTCTGGCATGCTTATTAAAAAGTTTATAATTCTTAGATTTCCTACCTGAAGGATGTTTCCTACATCCCTCACGGGAAACATTGAAATGAACATGTGCAATATGCACTGATTCAAGTGTATTAAAATCTAGTCCCAATTTTCTTAGCACAAGGGCAATGGCAAATTAGCCTGAGGGAATTTTAAACCAACAAGTTGTAATCATGGAGATTTCTAATGCATTATGATCCTGCCATAAAACTGAAATGAACCATGTATGTTTCATTTCTTGCAGATGTTCACTGTCCGGTTTGTGATGCCTCTTTGCCGTATCACGAAATTGAATCGCATCTTACAGTTTGCCTTTCCCGACCTCGCTGGCAGTACAATGGTAAGCCCGAAAATTGGGGGTGACGTTCATTAATATTTATCCCAGATTATTTGCGATCATAAGTTATTAATGGAGGCTCACGTCGTATGTTATCAACCATCATTATGAAGTTGAATCTTGAGTGGCGTATATGCGTGCATGCACTTGACAGTCATCCTAACTAAGTACTTGAAGTACGGTATCTGTGCTGTATTTCAGATGAGACTTTGGCCGAAAACAAAGGAGAATGCGTCATCTGTCTGGAAGACATGGACGAGGGACAAGTGATAGCGCGCCTTCCTTGCTTGTGTATCTACCACAAGAAGTAAGACTTATGATCATTCATGATATTACAGTTCCATATTGTATTGCTTCTATCGTATTTAATTACAGGTGCATTGAACTCTGGTTCCGGAACAAGAATGCATGTCCCACTCATCCGGATTCGTGATTTGGTCGCAAATTTGTGCTTTTATTTCAAGTGTCTGTCTGTCTTCCTTTTTTCTCTTAGGTTTTGTGTTCTCGGGGGAGCGGTTAACTTTTTGGAAAGCGTGGGAACCTAAACCTCGGTCTAGATGTCTTTTGCCTGCTGTAGTTTCGAAGACTTCTCCTCGACTGCGCTTGTTTTTTTTTTTGTGACGACTTTGGTTTGTGGCAGTGAACATACAGTGACAAATTTCATAGAAGCTGACCGGTGTACATTCGAGGAAGTGTTCGGGGGAACCGTTGACGGAAGTAACGATGCATTCAATGGAACGTCATTAACGAGCTGGCTCCGATTTCGCTTGAATAGTGGAATTTCTGGCGCAGTAGGTGTGAACGAAAAAAAAAACATTTGATCGTGATTTCGCGCAGGGCAATGAAATACGGCTTCTACAATTTTCATTTTGGCCTTTTTCAATTGAAGTTATTCACGGAGTCATTTGACGAGTACCCAGATGTTGAGGAAAATGCGCTGGGAGGACCACAGACGAATCATGATTTGCCCAGAATGTTCATTGATGTACTGTAAGCATCTGTGAAAATCTTGGATAAATTGTGATAGTGCAAATGGTCACCTGGAAGTGAAAATTACGCAGCAAGAAACGTGAACTATGCTTCACAGTCTTTGCAGAAGCACCAGCATTAATCCTATGAAGAGAAGTGTCAACATTTTTATAACAATATATTTTTGATGAAAAGCCGTTTGGTTAATTTTTGCTCAATCTGGGCGAACAATTCAACTACTGTATCTCCATGCGTAACTGACATCCAAAAATTTATGTCGTTGAAAAAAGAGTATCAAGGGTGTTAGAGCCGAGGACATATACATGTTGGTACATTCTAGTCACCCAAAAATGAGGCTCACTGAATCAAAAAAAAAAAAAACTCAAAATTATGAAAACTGATGGATTGAAATTTACAGTAAGGATTAAAGTTTGCTGTGCGAGATGAATGCATCAATGCGAGATGAGCAACGAAAATCGGCCAATTTCCATATCATGCATGCTGCTTTACATGATTTACGTTGGCAAAACATTAAGTTCGGTAATTTTTGGTTTTCCATCAAAAGTTCGGACCTCCCACCTGCATGCCTCTCCCCCATGTGCTAGCAGAGACCAAATGAACACTCACTCATGAACCGTTATCACAATCTTTTGTTGCCACAGGCCGCCTTTTTTCGTATGCGGTTTCAATACACACCCCCCTCATCGTTATCGTCGTCGCCGTCATCCGCATACTCGTCGCCGGGGTCGAAGTAATTGTTGGCATAATCTGTGCCCCCATCCATCTCCTCGTCCACTTCTTCCACCTGCTCTTCTTCCTCTATCCCCAGCATTCCCTTTTTATCCTTGTTCTCATCGTCCTCGTCGTCGGTCTCTTCATCACTTCCTGCTTCCTTCTCCACAGTCGGTCCGCCATCTCCCGTCTCTTCCAGTTTTGACAGTTTTTCCAAAATGTCTGTGCCATCTGAAAAAATTAAATTTCCGGTTCTCAAATCATCGACACCCGGTGCTTCATGCACACTCGAGAAAAATAAAAAAATTAACCAAGCATATACAGTACAGTGCAGTGCAGTCATAAAAAAGATCTGGGAAGTTCATGAAATAAGCGTCATGTAAATGTTTTCCTTCAAGAAAGGCAACTCCATTCAACAGGTGCAACAATTTAGGGAAATACAGTACTACATTTCCTGAACTTACCGTCAATTTCACATATCTCATGGCATTGTTCAAATGTCAGAAATTTTTCGTCAGTTTAAAATTTCCTGATGTTGAATACAGTGGGTCCCGAAATTAAAACAGAACACAGAAATTCCTGCATGCGTTTCACATTATTATATTCTTCCACTGTCACCAAAAATATTTTCAAAATCTCGAAATCTGTCGAATGTTTAGCATAAAATTTTGAATTAAAAATTCATCAGTAAGAAATTGAAGTAATCTTGTGACGTTTCTGGTCCTAATATTCTGAATTTTTAAAAATTTGGATAAAAAATGAGCAAAACTAAACCTTTTCCATCTCATTTTCCTCATTAAAAACATGAATGAAGTTCTACAGCAGATCGAAAACTGGTCAACTTAGAACTTTTTTGGTCGAACAATATTATGCTAGTCACATAATTCCCCTCACAACATTTGGCAATGCAACAATTTTTGCTGTACAGGTATTTTGCAAAACAGGGACCCACTGTAGTTTGCATGTCAATTTATCGATATGTTGAAAAACCACTACAAATTCTTCATCCAAATATGACGCTTGAAGTACAGTATGAAGCATGTGTGAACAGCATTTCATACAAGTACAGCACAGTAAATGGGAAAAATCATGGGTACAGTCGATAATTTGTCACATCCACACATGCATATACAGTACATTCCTACTCACCGTGGAAACATGGAACAAAACTCAACTAAAAAGTGCTTTGGCAAATTGGGACAGATCTATAAGCACATGTACTACCTTAGGGGGAACCATTTCCAACAATTATGAAATCAGTCTGCCAAAATGTACCTGCTTTCACTGCAGACTTCTTCCGCTTCACCACTTTCCGCTTCCGGGCTTTCCCGCCTTCCGCAACAGGGATCAACTCCTTCGGGAACTGCGACCAACAACAACTGCTAAACATGGGCGCGTCTTCATTCCTCACGCGCTCGTCTTCCTTGATTTTAGTCACCAGGCCAGACAGCCAATTACTCGCCGACCTTTGCTTGATGTGGAACGGAGATTCTCTCATGTAGGACCGCAAGTCCCGCTTGGCTGAGATGAGGTATTCTTGGCGAGGACCAGTTGACAAAGGCAGGGGTCGGTATTCCGGCGGTGGGAACACTGGGGGTGGCTGCAGAACAGCCGTCGGCATTCCTTCTCCCTAAAAATTAAAGACACATTCTTTTAACAAGGAGACATCATCTTTGACCCTCGTACCAATGTCTAAAACATCTGCATGTCTGATCACGTTCTCCCATTGAATTCAAATGGGAACATATCAAATACAGTGGGACCCTCAGATACAGTGAGACCCCAAGATGTGGACATAATTGGTGCATCACGAGTGTCCCTAAGTCAAAATGTCCCCAAGTCAAGTCTCATTTTCCCTTAGACTTACATTAGATAATTTTTAATTGGTGTTTTATGTACAAAATACTCACCATAATCCCATGAAAATGAAAATTGTCTCCCAATTTGAACTGATTCCAATCAATATATTTCAACAAAATACTGTATGGGCATTTGAATACTGATACCTATGTACAATACATATAAATGTTGGCATTCTCTGTAAAAATAATTTTCAAGTTAAAAAGAGAGGAGGAAGTCCCTCTCTGCTGGAGGTAATTTTTTAGAATTAGCTAAATGGATGGTAAATTGGTGAGAGAATTGCTCAAGAACTTTTCTTGCATCAATTTTAGGGTTGGAAATATCCGTTTCTTGTAATTTGGCCTGAAACTCATTTGCAATTTTATAACAAAATGTCCCTATGTTGAGTCAGTGTCCTCATGTCAGATCTTTTCATTAATGTTTTCATGATAAAATAAGTGTCCCCATGTCAAATTGTCTGCATGTGGGGGTCTCACTGTAATTGGTGAATCAAGAGCATCCGGATATTGGAATGCCCCTAAGTTGAGTCTCCTTTTCCTTTAAACGTCAATACTAATGAATTTAATTGGTTCTCTTTTTTATCAAAAATTATGAAAAGTCCTCAAAAAATTTAATAAAAATGGTTTCCCTCAACTTCAAGTTGTAGAAAACTACAGTGCAGAACAAAAGCACATAGAATCTGATCTTTTGATATCAAAAGGAGATCAAAAAGCAAAGAAAAAGAATAAGCTAGAATATGCACAGATGATAGAAAAAAAACTTGGGAAAAAAGAAGCACAAAATCAGCTTGCTTTTGCTCATGAGTTAGAGTGCATTTGTTATGAAATAATTGTTCAAATTTTGTGAGTATAAATAGCTTGATGTGTTCAAAGGATATAAATAATTATAGTAGATTAAAAAATTAATCTAAAAAAACACATTTTCAAAAAGCAAAAAATAACCTTAAACGTGGTGCGCATGGAGTTTGTTGATTGATTGATTAGACATTCTTGCGTTTTGTGATCCCGGTCGGTTTGTGATCCGAGCGCCTGTGAAAAAAAAAAAGTGTGTCGTCTGAACCCCGTAAGCAGAATGAATTTTTGTTTGAGTTCTTTTTGTTTAAACCCCCTTCCAATTAAT